ATGGAGCACTGGGTGTTATACGCAAACAGTGAATCATGGAACACTACATCAAAAACTAATGATGTAATGTATGGTGATTAACATAACATAATAAAATTAAAAAAAAAAAAGGAAGGGAGTGATTAACAGGGCCAAATCTATGGAGCATGTCACGAATGAGCTTGCCATAGAAAGCACAGGGCCCAAAACACATATTTCCCGAATATATCTATTCTGCTATTTTATGAAAAAGATTTTATTAAACCCCCTTTTTACTGATGAGGAGAATGAGGCTAAGAAGGGTAAGTAACTTGACCAAAATCACACTTTCATTAATTGACAGATCCAGGATTTGAATAGTGTCCCATCTAGTTGCAAAGCTTTTACTCTTTTCATAGCACCATCCAATAAGTAGTTTTATAGAAATATGAGCTCTGGCTTAAAGTTTCATTTTACAAATGGAAATTTCTTGGTTTAGCCATCCCTTTTTGCATAATAAAGATATATAGTATTTGGTGCTGTATGACATCTTTACCCTTTATTTTACTTATTCGCAAATGAATGTATCAAAGAACAAAGTGATGTAATTGCATTTTCAAGTCATTCTCTAGAATTCAGATTTTTATATAAATCAGAATGGTTTTATCATCTGTTAATTTGAGGCAGTGAAGCTTTAACTGCCAGTACTCCATAATCCCAAATTGTTTTGGTTTAAAATTGGGTAATATCCAAATATGGCTATAAAGATACTTTACCTAAGACTTGGTGAGATTAAGTCAGTGAGACATTTTTAAGGAACACAATAGTTTTAAGAGTGATATTTTGTGAGAGTTTTTCATTAGGGCTTGGTATGGAGCAGGGATATCTGGGTGGTCTTCTTGAGGCCTCTGGGTCAGCTCTTCTTTGAGGACTTGGAGTCAGGCTTCTGGAAGAGCATCTGATTAGCAGAAATCCCATTTCTCGGGACCAAAGAACCTCAGAGGTCAGATGTTTCAGTGGGCCTTGATCTATGTGAGTATGGGGTGAAGTCAGGGTAAGATTGGTGTCTTATGATTTCCTTAGAGTTGGTGCATAGTAACTGTGGGGGAGCTATATTTTCTGAGACACGAGCCAGAAAAAATAATTTGCTAGGCTTTACATTGTTCTTAAGTCAATTTGAATTTCTCTTTCTAAATCTTCAGAGGAAATTTACTACCTTTGCTTAATTTCAATCATGCATTTTAATCATCATTTTGTGGTTAGAAAAAACATTGTGTGACTTAAAACTCTGGAAGGACCAATAAGAAGAACATTCTTGTACATCTGTGTTTTCCCACAGAATGTGCTTGAGGAACTTCCCAAAGCTATCTCAAGTATTTTCCAGCTTGAACAAGAGGATGTATTAGAGTGGGGAGTCTCCGAAGCAGAAAGCACAGTATTTAAATCTCAGGAAACTCTGGAAGTTCGACCAGCAGATGAATCCAGTAAACCTTTAAAAGACGAACAGCCCACAGGTGATTCCAAAGCAGCCAAACGGGCATCTTTAAAGGTAAAGCACTATTTGTGTTGGAAAGAGTTACGATTGTTGGGGATGTGCAAGTGTGAAGAAATGGACCAGGCAAGGGCCACAGCATGGAGGTGGGTTCACCCTGAAAAAGGGCCTATTTGCAAATTGCTCATTTGCGAAAAGGGGACATCTGTGTGTTGAGGGCTTTTAGTCTTAACCCTGATTACAACTCTGGGGAGAGAAGACACATTTGCAAGGAGGGAAGGAACCTCAGGGCTTTCAGAAATTGACCAAGAGCGCTCACATTACCATCTTGAGGGAGTCAGAAACTGTAACCCAGGGACCAGGATTGGGTGAATTTTGTATATTTTAAAACTTTGCCCTGTTTAGGTTTATCCTAACCCTAAGTCTTTTCCTATTGTGAGAATGTTTCTCAGATTCATTTTATATATGTATAATTTAAATAATTTTTTACCATATCTGTGTATTGCCTTACTGCTATTCACTTAGTACGTTTCTTTAATTTGAGTTACCTTTTGACTTTAATGAGTTTATTTAAAATGGTGCATTATTATTAGGATTAAAAAAAAGCCACTTTTCCCTGAACCACAAAATATTATCTTGATTATCACCACGGGTCCTCTCTCTAACTGATTCAAATGGATACAACTTCTTGGTAAACAACCTTCCCTCTCCTGTTGGGTCCCCTCTCCCCATCGAAGACCATGTTTCTGCTAAAATGTTTCACCCATGTCAACTGGCCATTCTTCAACTTGTGCCCAAAACTCCCAACTCTGAAATCTGTGACCTCCCCTTCCCTTGCCTTTCACCCACAATGAGTCTCCAAGGTCTAGATTCCTCCTAACATTATTGCTTGTAATTTTTTCCTTCTCTTTTCCAGTTGCCTTCATCCTAGTCTGGGTCCTAGTGACCTTATGTTTGGATTAACGCAGTAGCCTCCTGGCTTTTCTTCATTTCTCAAGTCCTACTTTCTTAAGTTCATCTTGCATGATGCTAGCATATTGATCTATTGGGAATAATGGTTAATAAGGAAGATGCACAAATAATAATTGACCAGAGAAAATCCACGACTGCTGTGAAGGAGAAGGGACTTATCTTGTGATGGGTTATGGACCCATCAGAAGTTATGCTATCTTTCTAAAGCATGCACTTGGGGGTATGAAATGAATCCTGCCAAGGCTAAGTGAACCCACTCTTTGCTAACTACTCCAGGTGAATCCTGTGTTTCAGCCTGACACCTTCTAGGTGTGGAGCCCTTAGCATCTTTTTCTTTCTTTCCTTTTTTTTTAAGTGTCTTTTTAAAAAAGATTTTTTCATTTATTTGAGAGAGAGAGAAAGAGACAGAGATAGCAAGAGAGGGCATGAGTGGGGAGGAGAGGGAGAAGCAGGCTCCCACTGAGCAGGGAGCCCAACTTGGGACTCAGTCCCAGGATCCTGAGATCAAGACCTGAACTGAAAGCAGACGCTTAACCGACTGAGCCACCTAGGTGTCCCTTAAACAGTATCTTTAAAGACCATGGCATCTTGATGAAAAAGTGTTAGGCTGGTGAGCGTAGACAGTGTTTTCACCCATACTTCTATCTGAACATTGGGACTTTGGAAATAAAATGTGGGCATGAGAGGCAAATAGTTAGCTACTAAATGTGTAAAAAAATGACCTGGATTTCTGGACAGTGATTTAACAATGATGGCCTGGCAGGAATTCAAATCTCTCATTAGAAAAGTTCCACATTAATTCTTTTGGATTGTTGTGGCTGCCGTTAAATATTATTAAGAAGTTATAGAAATTTATTTTTAGTAAAAAGAGGCAGCCCTTCCCTAAGGTAACTAGCATTTATTATTTACCACATGCCAACCACTTTGCTAAGTGTTTTGCATATATTATCCTACTTTTTCCTAAAAATAGATTTCTTAACAAGACTGTATTTGAAGAAACTGTCATAAAGAAGATAAATAACTTGTCCAAGTACAAACATCTAGTTAAGTTGTAAAGGAAGGACTTGAAATGAGATGGTCTAATTCTGGAATCTTTACTTTTTACAAACCTTTGTAACAGTGCTCTTTCATAACAACAATTAACAGGTATCTGGTTAAGTATAAGAACAAACAAAAATGACTAGGGATAGAGTGTCCCTCACAAAACCAGAAGGAATGTTGGACAAGAAAGACTTGGGAGAATGGATTAAGAGAGCTCTAAACCAGAACCAGAAGTGTTTCAAGAGGAGGAGAAAAGAAAACCATAAGAGACTTTAAGGTTTATTGTTTTGGCATAGTGTGGGACATGTTAGAAATGCCATAGAAAGGCAATAGTCCCGTGACTCATACCACCAAGTGCCTTGTATTTATTTGCATTAACATGTCAAGATCAGTTATAATCCATGAACTTTACTTTGGACATTTGAGGCCATAAAATTAGTCTCTAGCATCCCTGGCACAGGAATGAGGAATAATGTACTCCAGCAAGGCAGGCCAGACTGGGGGTACAAGAAGTCCTCTTTTTTTTTTTTTTTTTTTTTTG